TTTACAAATGGTCCAAGTTCGGTAGACCTACACCAGTCTATGTATGTCTTTCAACTGACCTACGTTTAGCTGGCCCACCCTTCCCTGTTCATACTTAATATTGAATTTGAAGTAACTTTCTTTGGGCTCTAATTAACTTGTTTTACGAAAGTAATTTTCAATTACAATTAAATTTTCATCGTGGTGTGCGATATCTTCGTTTCATTTCATTTCAATTTAATTTTAATTTATTCAGTTCATTCAGAGAGATAAAATCAAACATACAAAAGCACAGAAACAGATAAAAAATGCAAAGAACACAGACATGCCAACCACTCCGATTTCGGCGGAGTTACTCCGTTTATTTAAGCATACCTCTGCACTCCGATTTTGGGTCGAAAATCTCAGATTTTACGTATTTTGGCCAGCTGAAATAAATCGCGCATTCCCAAATAAAAAATAATCCTCTGATTTAGATAAGAACAAGGCCACTTAATTTTGTCCTGAAAACAGCGCTCTGAACTATAGGCCCTATAGACAATAATAATTCGCGCTCTATGGTCTACTGATTTCGAAAAAAACCCACAATTTCATTGACACCAAAGCACAAAATTATTTCGCCATTAAAACACATCTCGGAACTCGGTGAAGCTCATTTCCAGCCATCTAGGAATCTAAATTTTCCTGGGGGAGGACCCCCGGACTGCAATTTCTTTTTAGGTTTTTGTGAATTTTCTGAACCCCCCTTTTAGAAATCCTGGATCCGCCCCTGACATGAATTTCAAAGAAACAAAATAAACACACTTGGTTTACACAGTAGTTTAGGTGACTTAATACAGTGGCCCTATTTATTGTTTTATAGTAGTACTTCCAAAAATTGACAGCATTTATTTTAAGAAGCCCATCTCAAAAAGAATCCCATTCAAAGTTCGCTAAAAAAAAAAGAAGCCTAGGGCTTCTATTCGAGGTTTTACGGACATTCATTTTGTACATTATGAAAACCATTGTAAATGTCTTACACCTGGAATTTATTTAAACTTTTGTCATTATGCTTCTTAGGTATTCTGGCCAGCTAAAGGGTCGTAAACCTTCAATGATACCAGAAGCCAAGTTTCACACAAAAGAGGTAGGATTTTATTTATACTATATTTTTTAAATCTCACTTAACAGTAAACCAGCTCTTAAACAGGTAGATTGTGGAAGATACGCACAGACTGCTATGACCTAAAAACGTGAAACCTGTAGTCTTAGCGACAGGAGTGACTTTTGTGTATGAGTAAAATAAAAGTTTACTATGAGTTAGCTCTGAGTTGAATGAGTTCATTATGAGTCAACGTGAGTTAAGTACAAATTATTTTGATCGAATATGAATTATTCTGAATCAAGTACAAGTTTATGAACTTTGCAAGATTACTACAGGCTTTAATAATTAACTTTGAGCTTAACATGTTACATACAAGCACCATCTAGATACGGGTATTCCAAGCTTGGCGATTTACCATAGTCAACATGGTAAAATTATAGTCAAATTAAAAGCATACAGAACATGGAGAAGTAACACCAAAGAAAATAGAAGATGTAGTGGAATTTCCAGTTGAAATGCATTGTGGGAGGATGGGTCCATAGAGAGCAATTTTATCCACACCACATGCACACGCAGATGCACACTACTGCAATACCCTTCAGAGAGGTGAAGGCAATGATGCTCTGTAAAAATTGTCTTGGAATGATGCTTTGCAAATTTAGTAATATTCTGAAGCTTAAGGAGTGGAGTTCACTAATTTTTAGACAAAACATCTAAATGCGTTTAATTCTTCTTGCTAATTGTAAATAGTTGTAGTAGTCTTTAAAAAATAGGTAAATACAGTTTTGGACTCATTAATGTAAATTACTTTTTTTTTTTGTAGCCAAAAATGGCTCCCCAAACATCTGTAGTAAAGAAAGAGCCCAGTTCATTAGAGTCAGCAAGTTCATCACCAAATTTAACACAAGGCAAAGCAGATGTTGACATTAAGATGAATGGTAAGTATATTTTTATAATTAAAAAAAACAATAATCACTAGAGCACACTCCAAAAGTGTATACTTCCACCCACATCATTATTCCTCCCTCTATAAAATTCCTACGCATCTTTTTCCATACAAACTCATCAAATGCATTACACCATGGGTCATAGATTTTTTTTAAACAATTTTCACACGTTATATATTCATGAAAAATGAAAAACCTGAAATTTTAAGACTCTTGTTTATTTTCCGAACGGCAGTTGGAAGTTAAGGAGGTGTGACCCAAAATAATGTGCTATGAAATGAACATTGATTTTTATATGCTAATATTTCGGAAGTACTGTACAACCCCTATAAACCCTGCAATTTGATGTTAAAGAACTTTTAACTGCTTCTAAATCAGAAAAGTTGTTAGCATGTACCAATTAGAAATTTCGAAGGTAAGAAAATTGGACGAAAAACCAGTCTGGACCATTATTCGGGAGGCTATAACACAAAAAATAAGACTTTATTAACCTTCAAAATTTTGAGGAATCATAGCCCACCATTAGTGCTCCCCCATATGTACAGTTATACACAAATCTCAACTTATTTAGCTGAGATACAGCAATCTAACAAAATCTGAAAAGTGGTTTTAACAACAGCTTGAACCCCGAACAGTGATGAATAAATTTTAACTTGAAACTAAATATTATTAGAACAATGTTATGCACTATTTTTATTCCTTTGTTTATTCCATATTGTATGCCTAAAAAAGTGGTTAACGTATCATGCTGCATATTTCTCTGTTAGCAGAAGAGGTCCATACCTCCCAAGTTTTGACAAAAACTCAGGGTAATACATCTTGCTAGTATGTTGAAAATCTTTGGGTTCTTAAATTAATATATTGCCACTGAAGCCCATGAGATTACGTTTAGAAGTGAGTGATTGTATTTGCTTGCTTTGTTTACATTCTGATGGCTATAATGTCACCAGCCAGCCATTTTTTTACTCTTGTTAATTCCCAGTGAACATTCTTAGAACCAATTAATTTAAGTTTATGGAGCTGCTGACAGCTCCTTCTGGACCATTTGACAGCTCACTCTCAACCATCTGACAGCTCACTATGGACCATTTCTGCTAATGCGAACTTTTCGTCATGTGACAGTTTCAGTTCCATGCCTGCAGCATGCTTTATTTTGTATGTTAGAATTATAAAACTTTATTTTTATTGGATACCCAATCAATGTGGGGACATTTTTCTTTCTTGGGGTCCAGATAACAAAAACTTAAATTTCATACAAAAATAAATGAAAATAAAAATGATAACGAAGAGTTAAGTACAAGAAGCAAATTTAAATTCGATATTTGAAAGATTTTAAAGTACTGTAAGTAGTGTTGGTTCATTGTTGCTGGAAGGTATATGGAATTTAGGGTCATTACTACTTTGTTAATGGATTATTGTTTTTGTAGGTGAAAAGGATGACAGGAAAGACAGATCTGCCAACTCTAACAGTAATAAAAATGAATTGGCCATCAGCAGGAAAGTAGAATCAAGGTCAGTTGATGTGGCATGCTCATAGGGAATGAAATAATAAATGTGTTCGACACATTGGACAATTTATTAAGTATTTGGAATGTTAATATCCAATTATCACAATAAATAAGTTTGCTTTCCTCTCTTTTCAGTTCAAAGTTGAAGGATAAATGTAGTAAAGAAGACAAAGATGAGAAATCAATAAGGAAAATAAAGGAAGAAAAAGGTCACAGGTCAAATAAAAGTCACAGAGAAGAAAAAGACAAGATTCACTCTGAAAAAAGGAAGGAAGAGAATGGAAGAGAGGTGAAAATTAAAAAAGAAAAAGATGAAGTGAAAAGAGATGGAAGAAGTAAGATTGACGAAAAAGAACAGCGTGCCAGTAGTGTTACATCCAGCTCTAGTCAAGGTTCTACTCCGGCAACTAAACAAGATCTTTCCCCAGTTAGAGATGAATCTGAACGAGGTGATTTTACCTAAATTTGATATTTCATTTGCCCAAAAGCTATGAATGCTTTTATAGTGCAAAATCCGCCATATTGTGAAGGGATATCCACACTCAAGACACCCTTTATATTGTCTAGTGTCTAGGACACTATCTTAGCTGTCACAGTCCTCAAAGAACAAGTGTTAAGAAAAGATCATCGGTTACACAGCTTGGGAGTAACTTTAGCTGCAGTATTTGCAGGGTGAAGTAGATCTTAAGTCACTAGCTGCTGTTGCAGTTTGTTGTGGTGAGTATAACATCTTTAATAAGTTTAAAATAAGATTTTAGGTTTACTTTTATAGGGCATTCTTAAGTTTCTTTCCAAAAGACCAAATTATTTACCAAATCTAGTATGTATAATATCAATCGAATTAGTTACAAAATCTAGTATGATCATGCAGTAACATCAAATCGCACTGGTACGTGGCAGTTTTTGAACACCATTTCATAAGGTTATCTTCATCTTTTGCCCTATTTCTTCTTCTTGTGTTTTTCTTTTTGTGATTGACACTGGATAAAACATAGCATAGAAACATTACACTGTAGTATTATTGAGTACCATTCCCATTCCAACAATTCGATAAAATGTCGACTGTTTTTAAACTCCTCAATTTGTTGGTTAATTTAATTTCAGATGTAAAGCCTCAGTAAATGTTCTGTTGAACTTAAATTATTGTGACCCACTAGATTTTAAATGGATTGAAAAAAACAGAGGAATAGCGTAAACGTTTTGGATAATTAATTGTACACAGTGAGCTTAGCCTTGTCGCTAACACAATCTACAATCAAGCAATTTAAGTTTGTCTGGTAGTTTAGATATTCCATACAGAAATTGCATTGAAATGACTTGCTGACAGTATTTAACCTGAACATGTTCCTTTGAGTCAAGAATGATCCTCTCAGTCAGCATTGGTTGTGACAAGACAGGCAGTAGGCCAAGCCCAAGCAATGGACCTAGAATGCCTCTCAAAACTCTTCATACTTTTAGGTTGAATGGTAATGTTAACCAAATCAACCTTATCTTTTTGACCTGAATTTATATAAAAAAGAAAATGCAGTCAAAACATTTAAAGTAGAATGCAGAATATTTACAAAATATGTAGAATATTGTTATGATCATGCAAAACAAATTTTGATAGTAATTATGTGTTGTAATTCACCATTCACACTGAAATTAAGGGGCATTTATTTGAGTATATACGTATCCATTGCACACCAACATATACAGTATAGTGCCTCCATTCGAATAAACACCTTCCTCGAATAAACGCTCCCTCAAAAATACTTCAGAGTAATAAATGACCCGGGGCGTTTATTCAAATAAATACTATCATTTGGTACAATATTATCGAAGGAACAAAAAATGAAAATAAGAAAAAAGTGTTTTTGAATATTGTGTGAATGGAGACTAATTTGAGTATTTCTAATGTATAACTTATGAAGATTATTGTAACATACTTACACATAGAAAAACAAAACAATGTTTATTGCAACATTGATAGAATTGAACATATATACATAAGAAAGGAAGTAATATGTTATGTACTGTTCTAAAGCTAAATAACTAAGAAATAAAGCAAACAATATGAATTGATATCTTAAAAAAACATATTGCTCAAAAGCTATTAATGAAAGTGTTAATAAACCCAAACAAATTTGGAAAACTATAAAAAATATTACTGGTAATGATAAAAAACAATCAGTAAATTCTCTTATAACTGGAAATGAAATTATCTCCGATGAATTTGAAATAGCCAACAAATTTAACTCATATTTCTCTTCCATAGGTGAATCATTAGCTCAAAACATTAATAATAATCTTTCTCACAATTCTAACAATACTAATAACCTACACTTAAATAATCAATTTAATTTTGAATTAATTTTACCTGAAGAAGTTTTTGATGAAATTAATTCATTGTCAAATAACAAAGCTTCTGGTACTGATGAGCTTGATCTAAAATTAATTAAGATTGCTTCTCCCATTATTTGTTATCGTATTGCTCATATAATAAATTTATCTTTAAGTACAGCAACTTTCCCATCAGCATGGAAAATAGCCAAAGTTACACCAATATTTAAAAGTGGTGATAGATCAAACACTGAAAATTATAGACCAATCTCTGTCCTACCTATATTATCTAAAATCATTGAAAGATTTGTATATAATCAACTTTATCATTATTTAACACATAATGATATAATCACCAATTGTCAATCAGGTTTTAGACCATTTCATTCTACTAACACTGCACTTATTGATGTTTCTGAACACATTCTTAACAATCTTAACAATGGCAAAGTAACAGCTGCTATCTTCTTAGATTTGAAAAAGGCTTTCGACACGGTTAACCATACTATTTTAATTAAAAAACTTAAACAATATGGAATCGGAGGCACTACATTAAACTGGTTTTCATCATATCTCTCAGGAAGATCTCAGGTAGTTAAAATTAAA